AAATTACAGTCCATAAAAGGTTGCACGAAAAACCAGATTCCTCTTAGGTCAAGTTTAATACTTAAGACTATTAAAGAAACTTGGGTATAAAAAATATCTAATATATAAAAACTTACATTTAAATGTTTCTGCCTCTAAAACCTGGCAGCTGGCTTGATGTTCGAATTGATCATCTTCACAGAGAAAGTTATGACAAAAAGAACAACTGAATATTCTGCCTCCTATTGGATTAAAACACAAAACCCACAAATGTAAATATGGTCAACTTTAATTTAAAAAATACTTATCTATAAAACTGAACAGAAAGGATGGCAAGTTATTTCAGATTTATACCCAAATGACACAGGAGTTTTTGTTCTTGTAAAGGCTACAATGAAAACTGCCAAAAAGCACCATAACAAAGTGGACCCTACCCGCCGGCTACACATATATAATATTCCCAATGCTCAAAGACCCTTGCTGTCCGTAACTCCCCTCCCTACCTGTTTTGGGTAAACAGTTCTAGCATTATCACTGCTAGTGTAAATCCCTTTTCCAACTAAACCAATAACCGAAACAGTGCAAGCAGGTAGGGCTGACGGTATCCTGAAAACATCTTAGAGCATTAAGAACGTTTCCGAGTCAGCCTTCACTTCCAGCAAAGCTCACCCCGCACCCGTCACTCACCGTGGTCCCAGACTCCTCGTTCGCACTCCACACACTCGGCATCAGCAAGGGGGCAGGCGCAGGCGTGTGTACTGAGGCACTTCCTACCGTGACAAACCCAAGCTTCACAGAAGTCACATATTGCGCCCTGCAACCAATGAACACGAAACATTAAATCTTGTCACTTGACTGGTTGCAGCCATTGCTTAATAGCAACCATGAAAATTGTGCATGTTTAGTAATGTCAGCCCTCAGTGATAGTGGGTGGCTTCACAGAAGAAAAAAATTTTACTGTTTACTCTAAAGCCAACATTAAAGAGGGTTCTCTGAGAACTACTCTGCCTATAGCTATTTATAATATACAGACCTTAGCGAGTAATCAAAAGAAAAAGGAGCAAGGGAGACACTACACTTACCCCAACATTGATCAGTGAAGTCGGTCAAGGAGCTGCAAGTGTGGCCTTCAGACTGAAGTCGAGTCCACAGTTTAAGTAAGCATTCTTGTCTATCGCAATTCCAATAACTAAACTGAATTTTTTCAAATACTAATATTTCTGACTTAAGAAAATTCCTTCTTAACTGTGTAATTTATAAAATAATCATTCATATAGCTTTTCTAGAATAANTCTGATTCCACAAACTATGATTAAGGATCTACTACTGGATTAAGTTTCATCCTTTGAATTGTTCCTGTTAGGCAAGTAAGTAACCAGTATCATTCTGAAAAGCACAGGTACGCATGCTCTACGGTCTACTCACTTTCTGAAATGGACCAAGGCATTCTGCATGAGAAGCTCGCAGGTGACTTATAAAGGTCACCCTCACACACATTAGCACAAAATTCCAGCCCAGAGCTTACCAAACCATGACCAAAATGAAGATGAGGAAAATATATTCACCCATTAGTGTCAGTCAGCTACTAGATTCTGTATATGGAAATTAGATGAATAGCTATTTGTCATAGTTGAGCCATATTGAGTCCAAATAGCCAAATGCGTCCCTCAGTCAGCAGATGGGTGCTCAGGCCTGGGACAGGCTTGCCTCAGCCAAGGCAGACCCTGCAGCTGCCTGAGTGCTACCACCTCTGCTGTCTCAGGCTTACCTGGTGGCATGGCCCAGACACTCATCCCCCAGGGATCACAGGATGGAGCAATGTTTCCATGTCCATTTATGGTCACAAGTAAGCAAAGGAGCACCTAGAAAACCCAGGTGACTCACCTGGACTCCATGCATAGTCGTCCCTGCCCCCAACATGTAAAAGCAGCCCTTGCTCCTCCTGATGAAGTCACGTATCTCTCTCTGCCAAGACAGTGATTTTCCTTCTCGCATATTGATCCCTGGACATAAAAAGCCCAAAATGCCAAGTTGGCAGGCATAGTTTATAATTCAGTGTAGAGCTAATTGGGTACCACGAGAGGTGGCCCTCTTGAGGATACAGAATTCTAGTCATGCAGAGCCCAGAGTCATGGAGATGGGGACAAAAATGTTCTGCTGACGAATTTAGTTTGCTCCGAAGGGTGCTGTACTCTATCAGCCTCTTCATTGCTCTCTGCAGCTCAGGCCCCTTGGCCAACCACTCCCAGCTTGAGTCATTATAGTTGTAACCCTGACTTTTGGCAATTAGGTACTGCCACTTGGCCGCCGTTATTTCAGGGTCTTACCACCCACTGCCATCAGCAAGCTAAGCTTTATCACAGTTTGTTTCTATTATCAGCAGGAGCCTAGTCACCACTGAAGTTTTTAGTGACCTTTGTGCCCTCCCCATACCCATGACCTTGTTAAATGGTTGGTCCCTGGGGCTTCCCGTGGAACATAATCATCCGGTGGACCTTTTCACCCGAAGTTAAACTATCCATTTCCAGAGTACCTACTTCTTTCACCCTTCTAATCCTTTCCTCCACCATCTGCCAGTTAATGCTGGCATTTCAACTTTGCTCAGACTTGGCCATAGCTTTTTCCATGTTTCTAGAAGCCATCCTGATACTGAGTTCACACCATCTGGAGATCCTACCCAGGGTGTTAAGTCCTGTTCATTTAAGATACCTCTTCTCCTGCAACCCAAGGACCCAATGTGGGTGCTGCTGTCAAACTAACTGTTCTCACCCTCTTGATCCACCACTTCAGATTCCAGTCCCAGGAGNCACATTCCTGTAAAATATAAAAACACAAAATTAATTTTCTCCTGGTTGAAAATTGCAAATTGACTTACATTATAAAGAGTATGCTCTTATGTTAAAATTTAAGTGACACTTCCCCAAACCCCCCAACTTCACCCATGAATACAAGCACCTACACATAATAAAGGTATGCTCTTGGGTATACCACAAAAAAGGCTAAATACAGTGGTAGTATGTGTTGTTGTTGTTTTAATGAATCACAAATAATACAGACTAGACACAAGAAAGAGAGAATACAATATGATAAAGCTCACAGAAAATCCAGAATCTTAAACATAGTATTCAAAATTCTCAACAATCTGGTCCCTAACCACTTTTCAAACCTTGCTGACCTGTTCTCTTTAGATTCAAGTCACTATCTGTCAGCCATTTTCAAAATATGTCTTGTAATCTCTCTTTTCAATGTCTCATTTATTCTAATCCTTTTCCTTGCAAAGTCCCTCCTCACGATCTTGACCTGGTGGGAAGTTCTGGCAATGATCCTACCTCCTCTGTGAACTGTACCCCATTCAAACACCCAACTTTATCACCTGAGTCCTAACGGGACCGCTACTGCAACGTTACCAAAGGGCAGCCCTCATTATGTGTACTTACGTCATTCCTTTTTCTGTCTGCCCCATACCCCTCCTCTCTGGAAATGACCCTGACACACAGAAAGGAGTCCCCACTGTCCCATCTGTGCTCCCCCACCCCCACCCCAGCTGTAAACAGTCCTAGAATGGGTACCCGCCCAAGTCCAAAGTATCANCCTCACCCGGGAAGAGCGCAATGATCACAATACCAACATTGGCCAGGGAGCGATGTCATCAACAACTAGGCTGAACAAGGGGACAGCAACTTGTCTGCTCCCCCCTGCCAATTCCCCAATAAAATCCTTTAAAAAAAAAAAGAGTTTTCTTGGGACTGATCACACTCCTTATTTCAGTGTCTTAAGAGAAACGGTCTTTGACAGGACTCTTCTGAACTGACCTATCACAAGGCAGAAACTATACACAGGCTATGGCATGTATACACAGTTATTCATTCACACATATATTAGTATTCACAAAGCCCTGGTGACGTAATGGTGAGGAGCCTGTCTACCCTCACATAGTATAGTCTCACCGGGGACACAGACACGTGCAGAAGCAACTGCAAGACACTGTGCCATGAAAGGAAGTACAGAGGAGGCGCACTAAACCAGATACGGGATTCAGGAAAGACCGCCTGGGAGACATGAAGTCTTAGCTGAGATCTGAAGGGGAACGGGGTGCGGTAGGATAAGCAAAGATGGAAGAGTGATCTAAGACAGAGGAACCAGAATAGACAAAATGGGAGAAGAGCTGGGGGAGAGAGAAGATGGAGCCAGGAATATAACCAGGAACACAGAAGTGTTTGTGAGAGGAAATCAGTCACCTGTACCTATTTAGTGATCGTTAACAAACAGAAATAAATGCTGGAGACAAGGTCTAGGAAATAAAACACATGGAAATCTTCACTTACTCAGACTCTCCTAAGCAAATGCATTTTGACAGTAATTAAAATATATTCCCATCATTTTGGTCTGAGTGTTCTCCATAAACGNCAAGAAACAAAAGCCACAGATGGAACCAAGGTGTCCCAGCTACATCCTTGCCCTTCCCAACTGCACAAGTTAGTCGACTATTCATTCAATAAACTCTGTTTCTTCCCAGTTATTTAAGTTGGATTTGCCACTTATAAACAAGCAGTTGTTACGGTGTCATCCATCTACATATCCCCCGCAGTGCCTACACTCAGTTCCTGGCACTGAGGAGATGCCTAATAGTTTGTGGAATTAAGTCACAGTAAGCATTTCACATGTGTTTGATAAAACAAAAGATGAAAAAAAGAGGAATATAAAAAGTAGAGAGGAGAGGAAATAGAAAAACGTGGGACAACTCAGAGAAAAATGGTCAAAGAAAGGAAAGGGGTAATGATGACATAATCTCTTGCTTTTCACAACGTTAACCAAAGAAGCCCAGAAATGATCAGGATGAACCCACTCGGCACAGGGAAATAAGGTAGTAAAACAGGAAACCAAAAGAGATGTCAAGAAAAGTGGAAAATTTAGAAAAGAGAAATGAAATGAGTTAAGAACTGCTAAGAGAAAATGATGAAAAAGCTCCAACAGGACACACTGAATCATATAAGGTTAGAGGAGCTGGAAAATTGGTTGCACAGATCCTAGTATGCTTGGTCAAGATCTATTTATTACCAACAGTAGCCAATGTAATACGGCAGGTTTTATAAAAAACAAAATCAAACAAAAAATCATTGCTAATTAGTGTTAACAGAAACAATGGATATGCTACTAACAGATTTCAAATTCGATAAAATATATGCAGCAACACTGTTTTTTT